CCTCCGTTTTTCTCGATCCAAGGTGACCTGAAAATCGACGATACCTTCAAGATTATGGTCAAGGCGAAAGTACAGTTCGTCCAGATTAGCCGTTCGTCGCAGCCAAACACAATAATTACAGGGAAATCCCGTTTCAGGCCATGATCCTATTAAAATAATCAGACAGTCGGCGGCTTTTGACGGAAAGAAAAACGCCTGAACGGACGATAGAACGTCGGTTCAGGGAACGAAATGACAGGTTAAAGCGCGGGAATGTCTCGACAGTTAAGCGTTTAATTGCGCGAGGAACGTTACGAGGCTGCTCGGGAACAATGTTGTGGCTTGTTACGGGGCTCGTCGTTGTTTTTAATTAACGCTATTACATCGCGACGATATAAACGGGAGCGATGTGACGTTTCGTCACGAGCCCGTTAATGTGATCGTATCGTGATTAGGGTTGCCAACCGTCCAGGATTGTCCAGGAATTGAAGTTGCTGTTCAGAATCCAAATTGAATGTCAAAATGTCCCGGAATTTCAGAGAAAGCTATCGACCAATATCACCTACACTCCAAAATAGTTAAAATAAAAAAAAGAACATAAAAAAACTGTATTACAATATTTTACATATTTTTTTTTTTAAATGTCCTCGGAATACTAGGTATGTTATGTTAAGTGGTTTCTCAGTGGATAATATTGTGAAATTACATTATATATGCATAAATAATTATATATACATATATTTCAGTTTTGGGCAATATGTCCAGGAATTAACTGAAAAGAAGTTAGCAACCCTATTCGTGATATGCAAAGCGGGAAAGAGGAACGGTCCAATTTCATGAATCTGGACGGTTACGTAATGGGCATTACGATGGTTCGGCGTCGTATGGGATGATGCTGCGAGAAAGTGGCTGTTGTCTGCACTTTCCCAGTGCTTCTAAAATGCTTCTGTAACGGTGTATATGCGGTGATGGTGTTCGTTGTTCGATAGCCGAGGCGATGAGAACATTTAACGTACGAATTCGAACGGTTCGCCGGTTTTGTAAGTGAGAAATTGCGTTCGGTGGGCCTGAATGCGTCGTGTCGCGTATAAATGCGAAATTATATAACGCTGCGGGACTGGTCTTACTTTCCTTATTAGTATTGAAATGTTGGGGAAATGGTAGGAGGAGTGAGATGAGAAACGCTCGTGGAAAAATGGGCAGGAACCGAATGTTACACAATTAACACACTTAATGTCACGTTTAGCACTTTGTATATTTGCGTCAGAAAATTCAAATCGAGATTGTTTGTTATTTATGGGTGTAATGCGTGACGTAATATTTAGAGAATCGTTGAAATCCTATTGTGACATTTCTTGATAGTTTGGAAGAATGTTAATTTTAATAGTTGCTGTTCCATTTGTTTCTGACAAGAATTTTTCTTATTTTTATATAAATTTCTGCGATTTTTCTGGCAGAAGAAAACAAAAATACCAACCTATGATATTTTTATTTATTTATGACATGAAATGAACTTCACACTGTGGTCGAATCAACAAGATTCTATGAACATTACAGTTTATGTGTTATTGCCCTATTAGGTATCTGTAAACTCCTATAAAGGGGAAGGTTTTCTGGTACACTGAAGAATATTTACTGAATGTCAATGAACCATACCCTTGAACCTTTTAGTAGGAAACCTACAACAGGGCCTTTCGCTTTTACATTAGATTCATTGATATTCTTATCTCAAAGACACGGTAAGACAATCACCATGGACCTGTAGATTTCGTTACCTTATCTTCTTTCTTGAATAATGTATAACTGATGGTTTTCAACCTTCCATGCGCATGTTATCGAAAATGTGGAATGTATATTTTTTATTATAAATACTAAAACGGCCACTAATGTACAAATTGTAATACTAGGAAAGTTTACGTTGCATGTTTGCCTCTAATTCATTACACTGCAGATATCTGTGCCGATCTAGATCTTTATAATTACTGTGAGAAAATGAAAATTGCGCAGACGTCTACTGCATTCACTAAGAATTCTAAGAGATTATAAATCAAACAGAAATTTTCATAAATCCTCATAATAGTCTACGTTTCACTGTAATCAACACACTTAAATATATTCTACACGGTGTTGAAAAAAAGGGTTTAAGATTTTAAGGTTTTAAAATAGAGATGAATACTACAAGCACTGAAAGTCTTGGACACTTTTTTTTAAATACTTTGTACAAATACATACGATTCGCAATAGGTAGCTATTCATGACAAATTCTTATGCATCAACTCTTTGCAATCCAAATGCCACCTGATCGTCATTAAATAATCTGGCCTCGTTCTCTCGAGACTTAATCGTCAGCTTTACGCTTGATTAAATTCTACTTCCAACGTCCAATAAACGATGAACCTAAATATGTGTTACTAATTCCAACACCTGCAATCTACGCAACCATTCAGTTAATAGAATACTATTCCTGACAGCAAGCACTTGATCGAACTATTGAGAATAGACAGAAAATTATTTATATTCGCAATAAAATGTACAAAGCACCGTGGAATATAGATGTGGGAAATGAAATAGAAGTTTTGCTCATATTCGACGAAAATATTAAAAAATTAGGCAGTACACGCGTGTATTTACTGAATATACAAGAAGGTATTCTTAACTGGAATGTGAAAATTGTAGAAAATTGTATAAATAAGATTACAAAGTATTAACTCTATATGATTTAAATAAAAAAAGAAGATATGATAATATAAGTTTCCGGAAACTTTCTCAACGCCTAGAGGCGATTGAACCCATCTCCAAATCGTTACGTCACCATTTTATTCTGTACCGATATTCGGAAAACGAACCAGCGAAAGGCGTAGTCGAGTCATTTCTGACCCATATCGAAATCCCGAATTAATATTTAACAACTGCGACATAAACAGAGTTAAATCCAGCCTCTAATTAGAAAATTCATTATCTACATCACTTTTCCTGCAAATATTTAGTTCCCTGGATTAAACAATTTTCTATCAGGGATAATACCATCAAAACGTAAAATTCATCGAGTGAACTTCTGGGACGTGAATATGGTTAATTCTAGCCTCCAATAAAGACGTTCAGTATCTTCATAATTTTCACTGCAAATATTTAGTTCCCTCGATCAACCAATTTTCTACCAATGACAGTACCGTCAAAAACTGCAACTCTAAGACGTTCGTCGGATCAACTCCAGCTTCCAAACGAAGATGTCACCAACGCCACCAAAGACATCCTTCCCTCGCCAATCAATCCAAATGTCCCAATCTCCCTTGGTCTCACTATCTCGCCTACTTTCACGCCCGAAGAAATTGCGACATTTTCAATTTCGCCCCACCAGTCCCGATGGGCGTGAAGATCCCGTCGTTCGCGCGGGAGTTGCGTTTTCAAACGCGCCTCCCCCAAGGTATCGTCATCCCAATCGTACCTGTTCACTTCGTACCACGCCACTTCATCCACATCTTCCCCTTTTGTATCCACGATTTCGTAACACCGCGAATCGCCACGCCGCGTGGTTCCCTGCCACGGGTTCCCGCGATACCGATCCGGCCGATTTCGAGAGCCGGGGAGAACCGAGGCTGCGTAGGTATTCGCGGAGGAAATCGAACCCGCCCCACCCGTGGCGGGCCGCAGGCGAGGCCTGGCGATTCTCGAAGCTCGATTCTCGATTCTCGAAGGGGCACACATGCTCGCCTTCATATTCCCCTTCGGCTCGCTAAAGACATCGGGATCTCCTTCACTGTGGTCCTCAAACGAGGCTCGCGCTCCGTCAAGCACACATCTCTCACGCACCTCGACGTTCACGCTCCGCCTGTAAGTTGTTCGTCGAACTGAATCGCGAAGTCACTTTACTTTTACGCCGGTTCTAACCACGTGGGCGTCTTCGACGGGTTCTCTGTGCTTCGGTTACGCTGGATAATTTACTACCGGTTGCACACCTGTCACCTCTTCTACCTTCGATATTGATAATCTGCGTTAGTGTTTGTTTCTGGATATATAGATCCTTTGTAACTTTGACATTTCAAAGAGGGATTTGATATTTTTGACTTTATTAAAAAACTTGTTGCGCACCTGTCAGCTCTTCTACCTGCGATCTTCAATATTGATAATCTGCGTTAGTGTTTGTTTCTGGATATATAGTTCCTGTGTAACTTTGACATTTCAAAGAGGGATTTGATATTTTTGATTTTTTGAAAATCCTGTCGCACACCTGTCAGGTCCTCTATATTCGATCGTCGGTTGACAGTTACCGTTAGTGTTTGTTTCTGGAAATATAGATCCTGTGTAACTTTGACATTTCAAAGAGGAATCAGATATTTCTGATTTTTTGAAAATCCTGTCGCACACCTGTGAGGTCCTCTATATTTGATCCTCGGTTGACAGTTACCGTTAGTGTTTGTTTCTGTAAATATAGATCCTGTATAACTTTCATATTCTAAAATCCAATTAGATATTTTTAATTTTTTAAAAAACCTCTTTTACACCTGTCAACTCTTCTACCTTCGATCTTCAATCGACAATCACCGTCAGTGTTCCTTTTCGGTAATATAGATCGTTAGGTAAATTGTTCGTTTTGCTGTCATCGTGGTCGGTCATTCCGACGATCTGTCAGCTGTTCAGTAACGCCGTCTGTTGGACATACGACCTTAATTCCACCCTGTAGAATCTTGTCAGACGCTGGATATATTTTAGTGCATACGATTCAGGTTTACTTTTACTTTTACACAGTAGTCTGGGAGGGTAAACCCGGTCGTGGATTGGCGACACACACGACACGACGTTTAGTTTTTACCGATACGCAGCGGCGGTCGCGGCTGTTCAAACGAATTTTTACCATCGATCCCGTACGTTTACCACTTTGGTCATCCTTTCACTTGACATTTTCGGCTCGACGTTTTCCTTAACGTTTCGTGCTTGCTCTTCGCCTGACGACTCACGTTGATTTTTCCCATTTAGAACAAACACACCGAATCGCAGGAAACGGACGAGACAAAGAAGACAAAATGAGGATAACCTGCGTGCTCTTTGGCCTGTCGTTGCTGGTGGCGTTCGCCGCTTCCAGTCCGATCGTTAAGAGGGAAACGGAATCGGAGGATCTCAGCCCCCTAAACGAGGTAAGATCATTTCGTGTTTACCCAGCCCCGATCGATCGAAGAAACATCGAAATGAAAACAATCTGGCCTTGAGCTGCCTTAGAAAGCGGCCGAAACGAAATCGAAAGTGTACTCCTTTAAATGCTTTCGTGACGTAACATCGGTGTTAATGGAATTCTGTGGGCACCGGACATCTCTGAAATCATCTGTCCCGTAACAATCGTTCAATGTTGTCGTCACTGTAACTGCAAATTGAGACATACCCAACTGCACCACGGATTAAGACGTTTTCCATGTAAAACGTTTCTTTCACTGAACGGAACTTTGACAAGTACCTATTGTACCTTTTTAAGTCTACTAAAGCTTATCTATTAATTATGACATCACATTAATGGCGACACTAGTCCAGTAATGAGTTCCTAACCTGAATTATAGTTCATAACTTGAGTTCAATCCTTTTTTAACCTGGCCAGTAGAAAATTCTCGATCGTAAGAAATTAAACAAGAAAATCCTTGAGTCCATAAATGATCACTGAGTCAGAATCATCTTTTCGGTACAATCAATTCAAAGTTAATTTCTCTAACACTAGACCTACCAAGCAAGTCAAAATGACTTGTCAATACACTCTTACAACGACGATTACAATGTTACGAAAATACATTTTCTCAGATCGTCTGCACTTTTTATATGAAACTGAAGAAATTAGTCAATATCTAAATTTCTAAATTTTCAAAAGTATTTCTCGTTGATCGAAGCAAATATGCGTTTACCGTCGGAAAAGAATCGAGCAACTGCTGCAATATAGCAAGAGGGACCGAACCGTTACGTATCGCGCGAAAACCACAGGCGTCGACGGAATCAAAATGTAACTCATAAACAGGACGCGTGTTGGGAATGGCGAAAGTGAAAGCGTCTATTTCAAAGTTTTATTATCTCGACGTCTGACCGCGCGAAGTGAACTCGAAGAGGCAGCGTGGTCGTGCCGCCTCTAACGTTCGATCCTCTCGGAGGACGTCGACTTTTTCGAGGATGTGTCGTGCGTTTCGTCGCGTTCCAGGAGGACGAAGCGCTACCGATAACCACCGGGAGAGAAAGACAGAGACGGAACGTCGAACGGAAAAAGACAACCACGATCTCGAGGAACGAGCGGAGAGAGAAAGTGGTTGACTAACTTCACGAACGCAGACACGCAGAGCCGGATACGCGCGCGTAACGAAAATTCTGACCCGCGCGCACGTGGCCGGTCGCGTAGACGGAGACACTGGCCTCTGTCTCCCTTGTAATTCAATCTATCACAACTGTACAATCGGTTCTCGTTTCCTTATAACCGTGAATTTTAATTAAATGACATTTGTAGTTGATGGGGTAGATGCACACTAACGTTCGCAAGTATTAGGACACCTGGTCTGGATGAAGACAATGTGATGTTTTGTAAAAATTATATATATATATCAGACAATATTTATCACTTCATATTAGCATAAGCGTCGTTCATTAAATTTTAATATACTCTAAACAATATTTGTTTCAGGCTAAAGTATTTCAGAATACTTCGTAATATTGTTCTTTAACAACCAGTGTGACGTTATATGTAAGATCTAGAAAAGCATATTTCCAAGGGTTTTGTTGTGAAAATCCAGTACGGATTGGGACCACTTTTGAGTTAACTAATCGAGAGGAATAATTTTTTTCGAGGGTAAAAATAAATTTAACAAATTTCTCCAAATAGATTGGATATTTTGAAATTCAAGATAAGATGGTATAACATATATATCAACTGCATATTTGATAAGTGTCCTAAAACTTGTAAGCGGGAGTGTACCTTTCTCACGATACAGCAAAGAACAATTGAATAGAAATATCAGGTTACCCTATCATTTTAATTTATATTTTATTTGGCGAAACATTGTTCAATTTCATTATTAATTCACAAATTTTATCACTAACAATTTCAAGTTCTTGTCTAGTGGTATTTATTCAGTCCTTACTTTATTAAGTACCCACTTAATTACAAAGAATTATACGATCATAGAATTTCCTACGCGATTAGAACTTCATACTTTCTATTCTTTGTAATTGAATAAATTTCTTGTACATTCAACGATCGATTACTATAATATGAGAAAGGTTTTAATGTGTAAGAAATCACGGAAGTCGTGGCATCACGGGAGTCTCCTTTATCTTCTCCTTTCTCCCCTTTCTCCGGTTACTTAATCCAAGTTCGTTCGAACAGTCTGCCTGTCGCGTCCAATCCTTCGAACGAGCAATCGATGTATATTTCAATTAAATCAATCAAACGACCGTCAGGTGTACATCGTGGAAGCGGAAAACGATCAGGCGGTGGACGACGACAGGACCGACAGAGACAAGAGGAAGATCGGTATCGTAAAACTGGGCGTCTCCAATGGGCTCCTCAATTTCGTCTTTGGCGTAAGATATACCGGACGGTCTAATTAAAGTCTCCGTTAAACCAGAATTATTTCTCACATCGTGGTTCAATTCCAGAAGCTGGATTCCTTCATCGACTCTAAGACGAAAGCCCTGTCCGCGCTGGACGAGTCGAACAAAGTGAAGAACGCAGCGTTCGGTATCGACGCGAAACATTCGGCCACCACCAAGTTCATCAGCGATTTAGTCTCCGCGAAAATTCAGGCAGCTACTGGAAGTATCGGCCCGGTGATAAACAGCGCGACCACGTTCCTGTCCAGCGCCAAGAGCGGATTGGCTGGAGCGTTCGCCTCGAAACTGGCGCCACTTAGCTCCCTCGCCACTGGTCTCTCCGCTGCGAAAACCGACGGAGGTCTGTCAGCTGGCGCGAGTCTAGGTAACAAAATAAATTTTAATAATAATAATAGTTTATTGAGACGGGCGTATATTCGCCCAATATACATTCATATAACAGAAGGAACTTATTGTAAGAGAATTAAACTTAATCATGTTTAACGTTATAATTAAAGGAAACAATTTTTAAAAATTCCAGAATGAAATAGTATTCCAAAAAATAATATTGATTTCCGTGAACAGGTGATCACGATCTTCTAGGGGAAGATCAAATAGGCCCAAGTATACTGTAACGTGTTGCAGCTTTTGCATTTTAAATCTCATGATGCGTTTGTCAAATTTAGGAGTTTCAGGTGACCATGCCGGAGGGGGCAGCACCGCTGGGATCATAGGGAACATTATCAGCTCGAAACTCAGCAGCCTTTCCTCGTTGAGCCAAACCCATGGCCCAGCATCCGCATCAGCGGACGCTTCAATTTCCAGCGGTGGAGCGAACCTTGGAGTGTTTGGGAATTTAGGCGGAGGGGTAGGATCAAATTAACTGTTTCTATTTTCTCTTTTTGTATATCTCTCTGTATCGATCGGATTCGACGTAGCTACTGCTTGAGACCTGATTCCGTGAATGCTGTTCTTCGTCGCGAGGATTAATGTCTGTGCTCGAATGACTAATGGTAATAAGTCTGGGGTTCTCTGTTTTACCATCTTGCTTTCTGTTATTCTGGTGACTAAAAGGTGATATGATAGTCGAATGAATTTAAACCTTGGATACATGCAACCATTTTTTTCAATTAATTGACTCATTGGGTTCTGGCGGCCACAACTTTTTGTTAACGCAAGGTCATGCCTTGGGAACAAAGTACTAGATTGAATGTAACGTCAGAAAAAGGTACGATAAATGATGTACAGTATTAATAATAATAGTGTTGGTACACTGTAGTGTTATATAGGATATTTTGAACAAAGGACAAATGTAATGACAGTGAATATATTGCTTAGAGTTTACTATAATTGAACCTCTAGTAAGATGGTAGAAATTTTTATAATACACTTCAAAGATTGTTTTAAAACCGTGTATGTGTGCCAATACTTTTTCATCAAATTTCATATGAACGCAAGTATCTTTAACGTTTGACCGAAAGTTTTTTTATAAAATTTGTTTTGAAGTGGTCGTAGGAATCTGAGAGTATGCCTCCAGACTTAATAGCAGACTCAGAAGCAATAGATAGCTACCAGTTCTTTCTTATCCTTTTAGTTTTATCTAACGGTTTTCAATACTGACCGACTCGTTGTAGGTTGTCCGGTATAACTCGCATGCAGCAACCACATTCCATTTCTATAAAAGATAAGAACGATCGAAGGCATGGCCTCCTTTAACCCCTCGCTCGCGTTGCTCAATGCATCGGTAATCAATGTCTTTTCGTAGCCGAGCGGATACATCTAATTAACTGGTTGCAGTCTTCGTTCGCGACGAAATGAAAGTTGCTCCACTCACCTGTGGCATGGATAATCGATAATTTCTAATCTTTCCTATTGTTCTTTTTAATATAAGAAGATCAAACGCTTGCACGTCGCTACTAATAATGTGAAACAGCTTCCATGCGCTAGAACGCTTTGGATCGAGGGGAGTCCCATCATAAGGGGAATTCCTCTCGTTTCAAGCATTCTTCCGTTCCATTGTTCGTAACTAAAGCTGCCGATTAAAATGAGTGTCTGTACGTAAACAGTACCAATACGATCATCCACAACTGGCGTTTCATACGGCTTAATGGGGGCGCGCGACCGTTGGACCTTGGACTTTGGACACGTCCAAAAGGGCCATCGAGCAGCCAACGCTTGACAGAGGATCATTGACGCAATATTAAAACAAAAACGCCAACTAAAAAAACAAAAAAAAAACCTCCAACGCAATGGAGCACACGCTAAAACCCGCGACCAGTAAGCTTTGCTTAGGCGACGAACTGAACTGTACGATATTGGATTTTTCTTTTTAGCTGGGACGATAAAAATGCCAAGGACACTAGCCACCCCCGTTCTCTTTATCTCTATCTCTATTTTTCTACGTGACACGCTCAGCCCCTTCGTCAATAATCTAAGTTTAGCGTGACAAGCAAGATGTTGTTCCCCTACGTTCGACCTTCTTCTGTCTCGCCACTTCCGGTGCGAATGCCATCGAGATGTCCTCTCCCCTCCTCGTGAATCGATTCAACGATGCGCAAACTGTAAATAGAATTAGGAGGTAGCCATTACGCCGAGAGATCTGTCTCGAGTACCTTCGACGCTGTGTCAACGATGTGTAAATACAGTATCTAAACTCATTTAAGTATTAATGACAACGATGATATGGATGGCGATGATGATGATGATGATGATGATGATGATGTTTGATATTGTCAAATAAACTCAAGAGCATATTTTTTTTATGTACGAGCCGTGTACCTAGAATATTTTTCGAGAGCCGTCGACATCCTCTGTCCCATCCTCATCCCCTACCTATGAATCTTCAAGTCAATTTTATTTACTTAAGTCGATTAAAGTATTAGCATCGTAGATACTATTTCGAAAGGTAGTTTGTAATTATTTCTTTTATTCAACTCGTTCCTTCGGCGAGAGTAATAGATCGCGTAATACAAAGTAGACACACCGCGTGACGTTCAGCGATAAATATTTTCTATAGACATATATATACGTATATATGAAAGTGAAGTTTCAGTGACTATAGATAGATTCTAGACGTAGATCGATCTACTTGCGTTCGAAGCGTGTATCCTGTTCAAGAAAAAACTAAACGTTGCACATTGATCGTTGAACGTGTCTGTGAGCGCGTTCAATCGAGGGAAATATTCAATCTTGCCTCTTTCTTTCGCGTGGCGCCTGTGGTATACTTGCATCGATTCCTGAGCATTGTGAAAGGCGAGATCTATCATTGGCTATCTTGTGTTTTTTTTTATCTGTGTTCAGGAAACGGTCACGACCACCACGGAGGATATCCCCGAGTTCGATAGGAACCGAGTGTCCTTGGACGTACCGTCGGCTGCGTTCGGCAGCGGTTTCACCCTAGTCACCAATATCAGCAAAATCCTCAGTAGCGTGATACTTGTAAGTTTAAAAATATCATGCTCCCACCCACCCGCCACGAAGTGAAAACTCGTTCGTGCCACTTCGAGAGACTCGTTCGGGCGGAGACTTTGATCGTTAATTTTTTTTTTTTTTCGATCGAGATCGAAATGGGATGAAACCATTTGGCCGGTTCGAAAGTCACATATGATCGGACGTTATCGAGATTTTACCTCCAGCTTCCATCGGATATAATCAACGTTTCTTTTTTATTTTACTCTTTTTATGTCCGATCGATTAATCGGCGTAAACGTGTCACCCTTCACTCGATCGCGGTTGCAAAATACACGGGTTTCCGTGCCAGTTAGTCGCGAATCAACTATGCTGCGACGTACTCGACGCGTGAATCTCGACGCTTTCAGAAATTGTGTATCGATTAACACGTTAAGCGTCGTTACGTTACATTCTGGGCTAAATTGGCCACCTGTGTTAGTTTGGATACTGTGCTTTGAAGTAAAATTCGGCTGCCTGTGTTCTTAAACATACAATTTTGACATATAATTGTATGAAAGAAGGGTGGCCCAATGTGTCTTCAATCCCTAAAGGATAGTTTTAGAGTGGCCCAATTGTTCAGAAAACCTCGGTGGCCAACATTTCTTTTTTTACCCGCATCGTTATAAATGGAGTGACAGATTTCACTTTTATGATACCATAAAAATTTCGGATTTAGAACATAAAACTATCGAAAATAAACGGTATGAATATACAATTATTACTTATTGGAATTTAGAAAACATTAATAGAAAAAAAATATAACAGTGATCAAAAGCAACATAATTTTTCTAAAATGGTGGCGCTTAACGTGTTAAATGTTTATTAGTTGATCCACGCATGAATCGATAGGGTAGGAATGGTATTTCAGGGAAGACCGATCTCTTTGACGATTTTCAGAATTCAGCCCGCCGAACACAGACAGTCTTAGAGGTTTTCAAGCCGTTCTTCCGCGGTACGTTCGCCATCAAGGGTCTACCATCCGACAATCCGAACTAGAAGAGGCCTCTCCAGGGATAGCTAGGGATCTGGCGCAGAAATAGCTCAATGAATACTTCAGGGATTTATACGGGAACATTGGTCGACGTGGGATCGATCAGGATTAATCAAAGGGACGACTCCAAAGAACCGCGAACATAATCTGCGTAACGCAGATACGTAGAGTTGCAATTGAAAAAATGTTCGCCAACTAGTACGAAGAGTTATTAGAAGGATAGCTACGTGGTAGCGGTATTTATTAAGTAATTCGTTGGAGAGGACGGTTTTTTTATACGAAGAATATTGCATGTAAGCGACAGTTATACGGTTACTCTCATTAATATCGTGGTGGTATTAGATTTGTATATATCTTCGAATGTTTGGAAAGCATTTACCTGATCGTACTTCGTTTCTAAAAAAGTGAGATCCCCAGTTTTTACGCTGACTTTTTAATGAGTTTTAATATAACGATAGAGCTTCGAATTCTGAAGTCAACGATATTCGTTTCAGTGGCGTATGAACATTAGTTTAGGGGTGCTGAAGAAAATCAGAATTCCAAGCTTTATCACTATGCTAAACCTGATTGGAGAGTCAATGTAACACCTAGGGACCTTGTAAGAATAAGAAATGAAAATTTGATGTAAAGTACAGTAGGACTCTTTATGACAGGAAAGATACGTTTCGTGTTTTATGAAAAGTATTTTCTAATATAACAGAATGCAATATGGATTCCATTTCATTTTAGGACCAAAAGAACGTAAAGTTTTTTCATTATATGTATTATTATGCAGGGTCCTACTGTACTGTCATTTTTAATACCGAAACCGTATATTTCAGTATTCGTGATAAGGTATAAATTGAAAGACCAGGAATATAGTAAATAGTGTCATAAAATTTTCTAGAATACAATCGTGAAAACAGATTTCATAGTAATATCGAACAATGTATGATTGAGTTGCGCTAAAGAATTTTGAGACTTCAACGAGTGTAGAGTAGCGTCATGGAATGGGAGAGACTTCAATGCCTGGTATAACAGTGTGGCGATGTTTAGGAGACTTCAATGCATGGTAGGATCGCAACTCAGCAGTTGGAGACTTCAATGCGTGTAGAGTAGAATTGAGAGACTTCAACGCATGATAGTGCAGTATAGCATCGTCCGAGTAACTTCAATGCGTGGGATAAATGTAAACTAATAGGTCATTTTTAATGAAACAATAACATAAATAATGAGTGACTTTACTATACGGTTAAATGTGAAAGTCTGATTGTGTGATAAATCTTTCCGATCTATTAACCCCTTGCCATACGATTTTTTTGACGACTGTACCTTCAAGCATTACTTTATCGTTAACAATTTCCCAGATACAAAAGGAATTTTATTCTTAAGGCAAGTGTATCATTTACTCTAAATCTTAAATATTAATACCAATGAAACAGAATTTCACTTCGACTCAAATAAAGTGAATGGTATACATGTTTATTAAATTCAGTTTGAAATCATCATCACGTGTCTGATTCGATGTTATGAGGCAAGGGGTTAATAATTAAACATTCTAATGTAAATCAGAAACTAAGTTTCAGTGTATAAAGACGCAAATATTAATGAGAGGAACTGTATATAGGTTACGAAAGAAACGATAATTCAAACCGGCAAGATAAACACGCAAAGGAATTATAAAGACATTCGACGATTACGATCGTCGTTTAAATGACAGTCGCGTTAATTTCCGTCATAGGTCGCGTGAATCATTCATCAACCGGCTGAGGTATCGCTTCGTTTTCTCCGCCGCACTGCCATAAAATTACACGTTTGCGAGAACGATAGGTTCCGTGGTCGCGTGTTGGCGACGAGGAAGTATATTGCAATGTAATATTTTACTTAATCCGTGACACTTCCTACGAAACCAGCCAGACAACCGTCCCAGACGCATGCAGGAAGAACGTGTTGTAGAAATTACCAATTGTGTTCGACCACTCGCGTTAATATTTCTGTAATGCGAGAATCGCTCTCTGCGTGTTAATCGTTTGTTTTTTGTTTCCGGAGAAAAAGCTAGCGTTGCAATTTGTCATGTCGATGAATGATTGTTACTCGCGTGGTAAACACTTTCTAGATAAATGGGACTACGTGAGTATGCCAGAACCGCGACTAATTATATTTTTCGTTGAAACGTAATTTCGAAATTTCGATCTTCGAAATCGACTACGCAATCTTGGGACCGTTGCATGGGTTAAGTGAATTGCGTTTCTGGCACTTTTTGTAGAACCTGATTAGCACGCAGGTCCAAGTTGCTCAATGTTCTGCAATTATCGGACCTGTCCCCGTGATTACCGTGCAACGAGGTGTACCGTCAGTTTTTGTACCCCTTGTTGATTAGCGTTACCGAACCTATGTCAGGAAGAACTGTGAAAATTGTAAACTTGGACTGCAGAATAAATTGGATATAATTTTTTAATCCTGAATCGTTATACCTGAGAGTTACCCGATCCTTTCGATACTCGAATCAAGACGAATCAGACAACAATAAAATTGCTGGTTTTCATGTAACATTCGACGACTGATTTGCTGGTTTTTATGTAACATTCGATGATCGACGACTAATTTGCACGCGTAACAGTCGCTTATCGCGCAACGTGATAAATGAATTTCGAGGAAATGGGTATTAAGAGGTCTGACAGACTTCCGTGTCCGGTGAAAGGATTATTTAAACGTTCGATCGAAAAGAAAACTACAACCTTGGAAAAGGAATGCAATCAGATATCGGTAGCATAACTATTCCGGCGGTATATTTTGCATGTTCATTTTTGTCCTCTGCTAGTTAAACGTCAAAATTATGCAATTAAGTTATGCATAAATTAATGATAACTGAATGTAATACTTAAAATGAAACACTTTATAAACTAGAAAGTATTTTATGATTCCTGCAAGTTTAGCAAGCATACGGGCTAGGTGACGTATCAAAAATCGATTAGTCTGTATCATGGATATTTATGAGAATGGCGGAAGTTTATTACTGCGTATACAACCTTCTTTAGGTCACGTCGTTTCTGTCTCTTTAATATACTTAAAATCTCAAGTAAAAGTCTGATTTACTTCTGTCATCAGCATATCGATAATCCTGAAACCTGTTGAATACACAAAATCTATCTTTAGTACCTAGCTATTTATATAAGTTAATATTTTTAGCGCTCGAAATGAATAATGAAAGTCATCGATTATTATAAGCAGGTCCATTTTTATGTGACGTGAAATTATTATACGAAGTGAAATTATCAAATTTCTTATTAAAAAACACGAGTACTTTGGTACATAAAAGAATACGAAGTGTGTCTAAAAATTGAGGAGACTTACCAAGGAAACTAGTTTGAAGGAGAAAAGATTAATTTGCAGTTGAGTTGTTAATAAATATTATAATACTAAGCCATATAGTTTATGGTTTACCAAGTGAACTATCTTGAAGGAGATAATGTTAATTAGTAGTTAAGTTGCTAATAATTATTTTTAGAGAACCAGTCACCTCACTTTTTCGACACACCTCGTATACACGTTTTTATCGTACTACGCAACTTTATTTAATCGCGGAAGGGTTGAAACGTTTCTTTTTAAATGTCAACCCCAGGTCTCCTGCACTCTGATCTGATCCAAAACGAGTGTTTTTTTCCCCGGAATGATTTAGAAAGTGTACGATTTGCAATCTCACCGGGTACGTAGCTTGAAAGGTCGTCGATTTGAATAATTGCACCATTGAAGGGTGTTAAAAACTCAGAGACGATGTGAAAAAGAAGAACGACGAGGCTGGTGCTAGAATGGATTGGCGCATCGTGTCCTTCGTCGGGAATATAGGCGTAAAAATCGATCGAACTTTGTCTCGTTCGTCTAGCAATAGAAATGCAAATGAAGCTGATTATGCAACTGGAGGTCGTCGCGACGATGTGGACGTCCCCCGAAGAGATGAAACGCCCGACCTAGTTCTAAATATCCATGTGGCACCGATAAAACGAGATGAATTACGGATAATTATGATTCGTGGTATGTATGTTCTACTTTCATGGTTCTCACTGGCCATGTATTCCTTTTATCCGCGGGGCAAAGTGCTCCGCCTTATTGTCGCTGGTCTTCATTCAAGTAAACCAGCTGTGATGACATATACCCGCTAAAGAAAAAATAAAAAGAATCGTATAAATTGAGCAACTGGTTTCACAATATTTCGTCGTACACGTGTGAACGTTGCTTCATCTCTTTTATTACTACATTGGCAACAAAGTTCCTTAAAGTTCAGTTGATTTGACTGCTACACAGAATCGTCGCGATGCTGTCTTTGGCCCAAAATGTGTCAACGCTCGATCCTTTCAACTGACGGTGCGGTTCAGTTTTAGACCGGTACATTGTTTATGGGACAACCTGAATAGACTACAATTGGTCTAATTTATACACTACAATTGGTTGAAAATATAGGAAATCAGTGGAATAATATATATTTGTCACTTTCCAGTCTAAATAACAGGGACACAATCAAACTCCAGGATATTTTTTGTATGAAATAAGAGCAGCTTAATTAACGTGTCGGGCATGTCTTGACTATACACAGTCTGTCCCAAAGGTTTCCAAAGCAGTTTTTCGTAAAATGATGATACTCTTTATCATAAAATATTAAAAGCTAGTTTTCTTTTAAATAGATACCCTGTTCAAAATAATTACAGAAACACTGGAAATGGCTCTGAACATTTAGGAAATCAGTGGAATAATATATATTTGTCACTTTCCAGTCTGAATAAGAGGGACACAATCTAACTCCAGGATATTTTTTGTATGAAATAAGACCAGCTTAATTAACGTGTCGGGCATGTCTTGACTATACACAGTCTGTCCCAAAGGTTTCCAAGGCAGTTTTTCGTAAAATGATGATACAACTAGTTTTCTTTTAAATAGATACCCTGTTCAAAATAATTACAGAAACACTGGAAATGGCTCTGATAATTCTTCTTCAGGATGGTGGAAAGAAGGACGGTCGAAACTTGGATTC